GTGATTAACTATTTTTCTAATTTTTAAGCCTTCATAACAACATAAATTCATGAAAAAAAGCATTAAAAGCATAAAAATTCTCAAACTTTTTATAATACTGCCATTAGACATACTTGAGCTGGGAAAAATATAAAAATGGTCTTCTAAATTGTTTAACCCAATTTTATGATTTTTGTGCATTTATTCTAATAAAAATTGAAATAAATAGAAAACAGTTTCCAAAATTACTCAAACTTTTTCTATTACTGTTATTAAACATTATTAACCTAGGAAAAATATAAAAATAGATTTATAAACTGTTTAACCCAATTTTGATGATTTTTGGTGCATTTATTCCAATAAAAAATAAAATAAATAGAAAACAGTTTCCAAAATTACCCTAACTTTTTCTATTACTGTTATTAAACATTATTAAGCTAGGAAAAATATAAAAATGGATTTCTAAACTGTTTAACCCAATTTTATGATTTTTGTGCATTTATTCTAATAAAAAAATGGGTTTAAGTGTATTTAATCTTGGGAAAATAGAAGAAAAATAGCATACAGAATAGAAAAATCATAAAAAGTTTTATGTAGCATCCTAATGTATTATAAGGTATTCTGGTAAATTTTCATGAATTTTGGATGAGCAGAACTATTTCTTTTGTTTTTAGTCCATTATAAATACAAAAATCGGGGAAAAATAGGAATGCATTATGAAAAATTCTGAAATTATTTTTCTGAGTCTTCCACCTCTGTTAAGATCTGCGAAAATTGTTAGATACCATTTTCACACTCTCTAAAGTGGTTTTGTGATTTATTAGGACCAAACAAAAAGAAAATCAAACGTCATACTAAACAGTAACAAAAATCGATGAAACTTAATGAGGTGTTGTCATTTACTTTACGGGTCATCCACGAATTTATCTAGGATTTATAGACCTGGGAAAGTATTTTATATGATTTAAGCCCTTGTTTTTTGTAACAATTTTAATAAATCAAGGAAATGATAAAACCTCTTGGGATTTTTCAAATCATCATATTATCTTACTGGGATTCTGAGGAAATTTGTTTTTGAACAGAAAAGGGTTTTTAGACTTTTTTATAAATAAAATCATTTACATGCACTATTAACAATGTACTTTGATCATCAAGCTCTTTAACTTGATGTTCATCACATGCATCATGGTTTGAGGACCATGCATGGACATATGTTGGTCATAGTGATGTTTTTAAAGTAAATACTTGAATGCATAAGGTATATGAACCTTTAAAACTTGTAAAAATCCGTATTTTAGGGTTTGACATAGGTTTTGGTCCTTGGATTTCACCATTAAACAACATGCATGTTGTTCTTGGGTGAAACCCTACCACCATCATCATCAAACTCGACATTCATGGATATGTTCATGAATGTTCATAAAGAATGGTGTAGAAGAATGAGAAGTGCAAGAAAACCCTTTAAAACAAGAAAGAAAAGTGAGGGAAGATGAAGGATGTTCGTGATTACCTTGAAGAACAACCTTAGAAGATGAAGATTTGAAGGTTGAGAGGTGTTCTTGGCTGGAGAATTTCGTGGGTTTGGAGAGATGAAGAGAGAGTTTGAGTGTTGTAAAGAGTGGAGTGAGAGAGAGAGAGAGAGAGAGAGAGTGAAGGGGAAGTTGAAGTGTAAGAGAAGAGTAAAATGATTGAGATTTTTGGGGAAAAGAGGTGCCTTGGAGGAGGTGGCCGACTTTATGAGTGAGAGAGGCTCCCTCTCTCTTAAAATTCAAATTAAATAAATTCTCTCTTCAATTTTTATAAAACCCTAATTTTTATAAAACCCTAATTTTTATAAAAATGCTTCTTTATGTAATTCTTGATTTATTTAAAAATCTTTGTTTTTAACTAATAAATTATGATTAATGTTTGATAATTAAATCTTTATATCTTTGATTATATCCTATAACTTAATTATTTAAATTTTATATAATGAGGTTCATAACAAATCTTATAGAGTTTTTAGGTTTTAAAGTTTATAAATTTGGATTTTTGGGCTCTTTAGGGTTTTTGGAACATTGTTTGATATTCACCATCATATTGAAATGAACTTAGAATATTTTAATTTATTTTTAGGGTTTTATACCCTTTTTCAAATGTAACGAAGTTTGAAGTTTATTCTAATTCGGGTATTGGCATTTCCTACAGTAGCTAAACACTTCCTAGAATCGTAAGAGTCAAGTATATTAGTCCTAGATTTTAGTTGGATCCTAGTTTATGCAAGATTTTGACCTAATTTATACTACTAGGCCATGGCATGTTGTGCATATATGGTTTTTATAAAAAGATGCATGAGTCCGAGAATGACCTGAATTTGACAGTTGTCACATTATACATTTTGAGGTGCATAAAGACCTTCATCTTGACAGCCCAAATAACATAATTGCTTCTTGACAACATTAGATAATGGATTGAAAATGATACATCTTTTTTATGGCCTTCCATGTCGGGTTGTGTCTTTATTTTATAAACATGAATTAAGAACCTGATCAAAGAATTCATTGTTATCTTTGATCACAAAGTACAGATAAGAAGTAGAAGTACAGAAGAAGAAGGGAGCAAAACAAGAACATGTAAAAACAAGGAAGTAATGCTTGCTAGCCAACTTTTTGTCGAGGAACACATAAAAGATTGAATACTAAACATCAATTGTTATGCTAAAGGGACAAGAAACCGAGTCTAACACTAATAGAGGGAAAGACACATACTAATACCAAAAAATAAGGAAAGTTTCCTAAAATACATTTCCCCTTTTGTTCAGAATTACTCCAACGGTAATTAACGAATATTTATCTATGGTTGTTCACATAAATATTCAAGTTTACTATGTCCATGTTGGTCACACCCTTGCAATCTTGACATCCCAATACTCTTGATATCCCTCATAAACTTCACATACCAAAAACTAGGGCTGGCAAAATTGTACCACGGAAAACCAACCAACATGTTACCAACCGAACCAAGAAACTTGGTAGCCAATACATTTGGTAGCCAACATGTTTGGTTGGTAGTACCGTACCAATTGATCAATGTTGGTACGGTAATGATACAAAAATTTGAATACCATGGTAATACCATACCAACCAATTCATTTATTATTATTATTATTATTATTATTATTATTATTATTATATATATATATATATATATATATATATATATATATATAAAATCGTATATTTTAACTATTAATTGTGTTTAGTGTTTACAGTTTTAATAACATTATATTAGTCATTTGATTGTATTAGTCAATAGTTATTACCACTTTAAAGCACAAAATTAAAACGTTACTTTAGCATTACATTAGTATAATTCTTTTGTAAACAAAAAGAACTACGTAACTAATTTCTATACTAAACTTCAAAATCCCGATGTCTTTGCTTTAGTAGATTTCTTTTGTAAACAAAAAGAACTACATAACTAATTTCTATACTAAACATCAAAATCCCGATGTCTTTGCTTATTTTTAAATCTTACAATAGAAAATTAAAAGAAGTTGGTATATACCATACCAATTTGTACCAACCAAATATGTTGGTAGCCAAATAAATTGGTACCAAGTATACTTGGTACGGTACCGGTTGAAATTTTTTTATACCAATTATAGTTGGTACGGTACACGGTTTAGAGAAAAATAAATTGGTACCGTACCAATTCCACCCCTACTAAACATCAAAATCCCGATGTCTTTGCATATTTTTAAATCTTACAATAGAAAATTAAAAGAAGTTTGGTATATACCATTACCAATTTGTACCAACCAAACATGTTGGTAGCCAAATAAATTGGTACCAAGTATACTTGGTACGGTACCGGTAAATTTTTTTTTATACCAATTATAGTTGGTACGGTACACGGTTTAGAAAAAAATAAATTGGTACCGTATCAATTCCACCCCTACCAAAAACAATTTTAAAAGTGATATAAAAGAAGTGTTCAATTATTAGTAATGGAAGCAAGTATTTAAATTGTTACATGTACTTTTGAGTATTTTCTACATATTCACGGAGGCAAGTATTAAATTATTAGATGTAACTTGAATCTTTTCTATCCACTTGACATCCTATCTAGTTCTACTTTATCGTGATGGAAGCTAGGTAGTGTTAAAACATTATATGCAGATTGAATTTTTTCTACGTAACTTTTTATATAGATAATAGCTTTTGAGGAAAGGGTAGATGTGTTTTTCAATGGCTGAAAGGTAGAACTAGGGAGGGTTTAAACCTCCAATGGGAGAGTTGATGTAAAACCCTTCTCTGTATGTCTTGTAACTCCTTCTAGCTCCTCGCTAGTGCTTTGTTTTAATATATTGCCTTGATGCTCAAAAATATAAAATAAATTTTCAGTTATCTCTACGTATTGTTGTATATATAGTACAGAAAACAATTGGCTTTGTCGTTTTTCTTGCATATAACTAACAAAGATGACAAGATTAAATAGAATAGTTAATATAGGAAATGTGTGAGATCTTGTGGATATAATCCGTGGCGTTATATATCATTTCTCGAGCTGGTCACATAAACTCATACCCATTAAATTTTGTTTCCAAAAGTCAAATATGATTCTTCTAAGATTAAAAAAAGATTAAAGATCAGCCAATTTGAACGGGAATTTTAAGTTTAATCATCTCGGTGCCAATACATGGCCATGTTCTAAAAGATTAGATTACAAGATTATGTCATGATACTAATTGGGCCGATTGACTTTTTATTTCGTTAGGGCAACGTTTGGTGGTCGATTGCATAATTACGTTAATGAATCCGAACCAATCATATAGTATACACTTAAATGATATTGAAAGTCATTTAATAGATATTATTATTACTATTATTAAACTATGGCAAAATTAAGTCCTCCTATTAGTAGTTAACTTCCATTAGGTCTTAAAAGCCCAACATGAGAAAGGACTTGGCGTTGCGAAGTCTATATAAATGCGTTTGATGATCATTAGTAACTACACTCTAATATACCAATATTCGAAAATGCGTTTGCTTTTACAAATAATTGTAGTCGTTCTATCCTTCATCTCTCTTGAACATGAAGCCTTAGCTGCACTACCTTACACTTCTGTAGTTCTTCCAATACATAAACATACCGATGCTTCTAAGCCTCTTTATAGTGTTCAAGTCATGACAGCCTACGTAAACATGCAATTCTTAAGCCAAAATCTCCTCATAGACATAGATGCTCCTATTATATGGCGCACTTGTTCCTTACAATGGAACATGTATCAAGGCAGTTGCCCAGCCGACACACAATGTGCCTTTCCTGTTTCTTGTGAAGAATATCAGTGCACCGAAGTACGAACTTCCTTCTCATACAAGAATCCTTACTGTCCACGAGAAACCAACACGTCAACGTTACCTGGTTGGGGAGAATGTACGTGCCCAGTCAATGTGGTCAACCCCATTGATGCATCGTGTGTCCAGGCCCAGCTCAACTATGACGACTTCACTTTCAATGAAAGCAATGGTGGAAATGTGTATACTGGAATATATGGCGCTTACCCGAATGCTGCGTGTGCTCCTTCTTCATCACTTCAATTATTCCCTGCAAATGTTACAGGTGTCATGGCACTTTCATCTTCGCCTTATGCCTTACCAGCTCGTTTAGTTGACCCGCTTAGAAGAGTAATAGGTCTATGTTTGCCTAGCACCTTGTCTGCTCTTGGGGTTCTACTTTATGGAGATAGTCCTTATTACCTTCTCCCCCAATCAACTGTTGACGTAAGGAGTTATCTTTCTTATACTCCATTGATAAACCATCCAGATTCTTTTGGATACTATATAGGTGTGAATAACATTGTAATCAAAAAGAGATCCATTACTATTCCGGCAGATGCCATCACCAAGATTAGTACAACCGAGCCTTACACCATTCTTAGAACTGACATTTATAATCCTGTGGTTCGAAGGTTTGCAATGGTTACAAAACGTATCCCTCAGGCAACTCCAGTCCCACCTTTTGGCCTTTGCTTTAGCAGTTCCACAAAAGGTACACAAGTATCCTTAAAAGTTCCTGATATTGATTTTAGTCTACCGGAAGGAAAGAAGTGGACAATGTCCGCGGCTAACTCCATTAAGCAAGTGACACCAGATGTTGCATGTCTGGCACTAGTGGACGGTGGTGCATCCTTTGAACCTGCAATCGTGATCGGAACCTTTCAGATGGAAGATAACTTTCTGGTGTTTAATTTAGAGAACTCGACGTTTGGGTTTAGTTCTTCTTTATTACGTAAAAAGACTTCTTGTTCAAACTTCAACTATACGTTGGTTAGCAGCTATTGATCAATATGGCATTATTCAATTGGGAAATGAATATGTATCCATCAACAGTTGATCTCCTAATAAAGATTTTCTTGTTCACTGTCGCTTATGTAGTAAAAAACTGGACTATGGATGTACTACGTTAAAGAAATAATAACAATGAACCGAATACTTTAATATGTCCATTATTTAATTTGGTAGCATAAATGGTGACAAAATAAATAGATTGGATTATGTCACAACTACACTATATAACTTAAAAATATAAAACTATATATATTTTGAAGAATAAAATAGTAAAAAATATGAAAAAACAAATGTTTCTTCTACTTTTAAAGTTTGAAATGTACAAGAACTTCAAATTTTAAAACATGAAAAAAAATGTAAAGTTCTCTCTCCCCTCAAATATAGCTTTCTATTTAAATGAGAAGATAAATAATTCAAAAAACCTAAAAGATGGTATTGTTTTCTTAAATTTAGTGCAACTAATTTATTTTTGCAAATATTGTATTTTTGGATGGTTTTCTTTATAGATATATATAGACGCTTGAAATAACTATTTTACTTTATATATAGATTTTTCAATTTATTAGATTTTTATTAGTTATATATATAGATTAAAAAAGAGTTCCCTTGTGAAGAGCACTTGACCCAGGTACTATTCATCGGGTTAATCCGTCAACCTCGGTTACTTTGGTCTGCATGATTACTTCTCGATGCTTACATCACCGCTCTCTTTATCCCCTCTCATATTTTCCCGATTTTTCCTTTTGGGATAGTCACGTTAGTCCACCGCCTTACTATCAAAGCAGTCGACGCATAGATGTCACCGACGTCTGCTTCGGTCATCTCTATCGCCTTCCCTTCCATATGCATTTCTATTTGTCACCGGTGGAGAAGAGGACGACGATTGAAGTTCCATCGGATCAAACCATTCTTCACTTCGGAACCCTAGAAAGTACAGGTGGGTATCAAGGAATCCGTGTTATGGAAAACCCTATGAATACTCGATTTCGGTACCTTCTATTTGACTTTGATTTACCTTTTGATCTTCACCTTTCTCTATCCCTCTCGACCGACGTCTTTGCTTCCGTCCGGCAGACGAAAAAGAGAAACAGCAAGAACGGTGGTACCTCCTTCAAGTAGCAAGCAATTCGAGGTTTGATTTTTTTTTTTTTTTTTGTTTTCAAATGGACGCTTCTCAAATTGATTAAGCTTATGGAATTACATCTCAAAAGAAAATCAGTTTTACGGGAAAATTCCATGCTGGAACTGGGAGGAGAGTGGTTTTGTGAATTATTAGACGCACAGGTTTCAGCATCACCATGGAGATGACTCACTTTCAACATGTGAATTTAAACTTCGAATCTCACAGAAGATTTCTGTTACATCACAGATAACACATACATGAAGCAAGAATTCGTGAGGATGGAAGTCGATGTGCTAAAAACCCCAAAATTTGAAATGGGAAACTAACAGTTAAAACATTTCTTAGACGATTCACTAGGATTGCTCAAGAAGATTATGATGTACTGTAACACCGTAAATTTTCAAACAAATTTTTCGTTTTAAAATCACATAATTCTCATCAACACATTTCACAAAAACCCCAAGTGTCAAATTATCAAAACAAAGTTTCGTAAATGTTTGCATAAAAATCTAGGATCCTCAAAAACATAACTCCATCTCGTGTGTACAATCAAGCTGGCGCCTTCCCGCGATCCTGAGAAGTACCTGAAACACATATCACACAACACGGTAAGCACGAAGCTTAGTGAGTTCCCCAAAATACCACACACATCTCATTAGCCTCTCATGGCTATGTCTCGATAAAGACCCTTCGGTCAATGTGTCTCAGTGGAGACCATCCAGTCCCATAACTCGGGTTGGACCCTCCAGTCCTAACTCAAATAAGCTCGGAATAATACACAACATAAATCACAAAGACATAATGCAGGAGATCCTAATACTCAATATAAGCATACATGACCCTGCAGTCATAAAAGTTACCACTCATGGTAAGTATAGTGAGAAGACTCACCTCGTAAGTAAGCAAGTAAACCTCGTACCCCTCGAACGATCTAATCCTTGCCTATACGTCATAATCATCTCTAATTAACACTTATAACCTCAACTCAAATAATTTAAGCTAACCTCTTTATCTAACTCTTAGAAAGGGTAAAATACCATTTTACCCCTCCATGGTCTCCATAATCCATGTCTTGACCAACCCTAAAAGTCAATAGAAGTCAACACTCGAGTCAACAGTCCATGTTGACTCAACTCCTCGAGTGCATCTATGCGACTCGTCGAGTTCCTTCGTTTTCTTAGAAATATCATGAAAGTCCAACTCAACTGGTCGAGTTGTCTCGCCAACTCGCCAAGTTACAACGCATCCAAACTCATCGGGGAAAACCCTAACCGACTCATCGAGTCAGTTCACTAAATCGTCGAGTCCCTTCAGTGCATTTTCTCATTCAGACGATTTTAAGCAGAAATAAGGTCTCATACTCTGGATCTAGCCCTCTAAGGCTGAATTATCACGTAAAGTTTCAAGCTTTACGTTCATGCATGGCATCTAGGGCTCAAAATTCCAAAAAAAACTCTATCAAGGTCTTCATGCATGGAAGCTTGCCCAAAGCTTGATAAAGCTTGGATCTTTAGGCTCATGGGACTTCAATATGTCCAGATCTGGAGTCTCAACTCCATGACAAGCTCACAACAATCTAGAACTCCAGGAAGGATGGAAAAAAGGCTCTAAACTCCATAAAAAAGAGATCTAACCAAACAATGAGCAAGATGAAGACTTTTTACCTTCAAAGAGATGCTAGGAATGAATGAACACCGGATCCAAAAGCTCCTTCTCGTCCAAAGTCTTTTGCTCTTCAACTTTCCTCCAATAATGCACTAAAACTCACGATATTAGCCTTTCTTTCTCACACACAACGTTATAGCTCAATTAGGGTTTCTCACAGGGTATTAAGGTGACAAAGGGTGGCGGAAATGAAGGCTTAAGGTCCTTTAAATAGGACACAAACCCTGAAAATTAGGGTTTTCTCACTCAGCTCCTACTCATCGAGTAGACTCTAAAATCCCGCGGCCATAATATTCTCTACTCGGCGAGTTGGTTCTTCCAACTCATCGAGTTTCCCTATAAAAAAGGAATAAAATAAATTAAATATCATACCTGGGAGCCGGGATGTTACATGTACAACTCTATTTCTTCCTAAATTGTGGGTCATTATGTAATTGTTGATTTGTGTGTGTGTGTGTGTTTTTGCATTTTACAGACACCCAATTTACAATTACACTTCTTGAACTATTATCTGGCAGAATTAAGCTTGCTAGACTATGGTTGCATCAAGTTTTTACCTTCCATGATGGCTGCATCAGTTGCATATCATTCAAGATTCATGCTCAAACTGAATTCACATCCATGGGTAAGAATTGTATATTCTCTTATTATTATATATATTTTTTGATAAAATAGCTGTGATTCTTTGTTCTAATGTATTACATTTGTTCTACAGAATTTACAGTATGTTACAATGCTTTGGAGCAACTCTTTGGATATACTCCCTCTGATTTGAAAGAATGTGTTACAATGTTACATGAGTTACAATGTAACACCCTGTTTATTTTTTAAATAAATAAACAAATTAATGAACGAATAGAAGCCCTAAAATAAATAATTATATAGCAAAGGATGGTCTCGAAGGGCTAATTGTCATAATTTTAGAAGTTGGGGGTTAAAAGTGTGAATTCCGGACTCAGTTTGTAAATATTTATGAAGACAGGGGCTCCGTGGTAATTAGTTGGATTTAATTTGAAAGTGAAAGAGGTGGAAGGGCTGAATATGCCATAATTAAGATATTAGGGTTAAAAAGGGGTAACATAAGGAGCTGAATTGTAAAATATTTTAGAAGATGGGGGCTGTTTGGTAATTTAGGGGACTTAATTTGTAATGGATTTTGATGTTGAGGGTTTAAATGGTAAATATTGGCCTTATTTTGAAAGGAAATGTCATGAGAAGGGACTGTTTATGTCAATATGGCATGATGTTTAGTAGCACCAGGTATATAACCTTACTTCACCCGTTACCATGCTAAAAACCCTAAACCTAGTTCTTATTCACAGCCGCCAGGTATCCGTCAGCCGCCATCATCGGTTTCGCCTACTTCCGACCATCCATGGCCGCCAAGCGACGGTTGAGTCCAGCCTATGGCGCTGCCGTCAACGGGAGCATTCAACCATCCAGTCCGGATGTTACATCTGCCATCGCGCCTTTCCGATGGAAATGGAGCCGTTGACGATCGATCACCGCTCGGTTGTTGCCGCTGTTGGGTTGTTCCGTCGGGAACGTGGCAGCTCCGATCGCTTCTTCTCTTCGGTTCCATCGTCAGCCACATCACCGGTACCTCCAAGCTTCCGGGAAATCTCCACCACCCTTCTTCGCTATTTTCCCTTCGTCGGCGACTCGCTCTAGCCAAAACCACCGAGACCAGTCGAGCCACCACCGTGAATCGTTGCTACAGTTTTTCGTGAGTTCTTGTGGGTGTGATTCTGCTTCAAGATTCGGGTGTGGGGGAGGCTGTTCGACTGGGAACCCAAAGGAACCACCGCCACCACCACGAGGTGGTGGCTACCGACGTGAAATCACCACTGCCGCCGCCATACGCCACCAAATGGGTGGTTGGCTTCCCTCTCCAAGCTGAAGGCGTGATGATGCGTGTGGGTGTTGACTGGATTGCTCGAAAAGGCATCACCACCACCATAGGGTGGTGGCTGCCGCCACTCGCTACCGCCGGCCACCACAGGTGGTTGTGTGTGTATGTGTTTAGCCTAGTTGTGTGTGTGTTATTTTAGAGATTAGCATTGTAAAATGTAACCGGAAAGAAAAATAATGAAAAGAAACTCAAACCACCACCGTAGGGTGGTGGCTGCCGCCACCGGCCGCCGTGTCGGGTGGCGGTGTGCCTTGCCGGATTGTGTTGACTCGTTTGGGGTGCTTGAAACCCTAA